GATAGTAAAAGTGACCAACCGCGGACCAAACACTTAGTGATTAGTTGTTCAAATGTGAGATTTAATGTTGAAAGTGACGATTTGTCACTTAAAACGATAGCAGTAACGCTTATTCTTTAAAACGTCAACAGATGATCATTATAAGCATTAATTATTAGAAAATCGGATAATAATATCTCTAATGGTCTTACTGTATCGGAAATCAGATGTCAGAACACAAAACGCAATGGTCAGCCAACTAGTTCGCCGGGCTCTACGTTTTAAGATGAAACCATCGTTTTGCATTCTAACGTATTGCCTTACTAAAACACATTTGGTTGAATTTGACTTATGGTAAGTCGCATGCGCCTCATGTTAGTGTAAATTGACAAACCACGAGGTTATGAATTGTCAAGATGTGATTTATCAGCATACAAATCGAAAGACTACAATTTATTAATTTTCAGCTGCAATCAGTTTTACTTCTCTGCTACTAGATTTTTAGCATATCTTGCTTACTTCTCTCAGTTCACTTTTACTTTTACTCTTTAATGAAATGACTGGACTCAAGGGATTTATAAGCTAAAATCTTGAGAATATGAATTCAGGTAAATGACAATGTAGAATTTTTATTAACTGTTTTTTGATCATCTGAATCTTGAAAGTTTAGTTACTCTTAAATAATTGGTTTCTTGTCGAATCATGTCCTTTTACTTGTTAACCTTAATATTTTCCTTGTTATTCCAGTGCAATGCTACAGTGTTGCCAAATAATGGCTCCATTCAAAACTGAACTATTGATTTTAGTCCCTGATTGAACTGATACCAGAAAACAAGACACCCAATTGTCCAGCAGATTAGATTTTTTTCTTTTAATAAAACAGCATGCTGATATACAAAATATTGGACATATAAATAAACATGATTAAAAATCAACAAACAAATAAATGTGATTGGAAAATCTAACAAATTTAGGTCATTTAGTATCTAATTAAATTACTGCTTAAGTATTGCATTGTCATTTCAGTACTGATCTATAGATTGTAATTATCTCAATAATCTTTACAATGTGCTTTTCATCTGTTGCTTACTCTATTTATTCCAACAGTCAATTTATTTCATAGACTGATTTCATTTCTCCTAATGCTAACTCTAGCAGTATAAGAGAGAACGGTTATAATTGGGGAGTGACCAAGAAATCTAATGCTAATACTTAATCGTTTATGAATGAACTTGCTGTTTTGACACTATATTTATACCTCTTTAATGATGTCACAACTTTATTTTGTTGATATTAACAGTTGGTTATTTTTATGACTGATTGATTGGCAGATGTTTTTTGTTGTCGTAAAACAACTTTTGGATTTCCTCTTCTTTTTTATACACAAATATAAACACTTAATTGGTAAAACATGTATATATCTGAACAAGAAAGAATAAATACTAAGTTTTTAAGTTCTAAAAAAAAGTTGTTTCTAAGTGTTTTACAGTAAAATATAATTGATAATCATCAGTTAGACACTTTACTAATTACATATAAGACAGGTGTGTGTAAGTGTATGTATTCACTGAAGAATATCGGTCTCCAATAAGAAAAATTACTTTTTGTTCCCTTCTGTATTAGTCTGGAATTAATAAAATAGATGTAAAAATATGTTAGTAGGTGCAGAATATCTTGTTAGAGTCAGTACGATTATCATAGCTAATAATTGTAGACATTGACTGATTTAGTTTAGAATCGGTCGCAATCGGGCAGATCTATCCACCATAACTCATTCATGCCCAATGTTTTTTTTACTACTAATAGTACTTTGACATTTGCCTAGATAATTTATCTTATTATGTTGATATGGTGAGGTGACTTGATCCATTTAGGTAGATGCTAGGTTGTACGTTGCTTGTAATTAATTGATGAAAAGACGAATATGTTATCGTTATCTTATACATAGAAGAAAAATCTTACCCTATGATTTACTTCTTAATTATTTTTAAGAATTTTTAGAATTTAAACACTACCATGCAATGCGTATAGTTTGACATTATTTTACAATCATTAAAAGTAACCTATCATCATTACTCACGAAATAACTAACTGTTAAGAACTGTTTATTAGTTTCATTTTAACGTGTAGTAAACACTTCACAAGTGAGTCTGTCAAGAAATGTAACAGAGGAATCTACACTGTGCATTGCAAACTTCTCTTTGACTAACTTTGGTTAGCCAACCATTAAAAACTAGTAAGTACTAGATAACTACTTCATTTTATCACGAAACTCCTTTACAGTACACATCCACGATAGGATTAGCTTGAGGACCGCCAAACATTTAAACAAGCTCTTAACCTTAAACCGAACACAGATGAACTCTACTGCTTACAGCTTTTCACTAGAGCTCCAGTAATTTCGTTTCAAAGCTAGTCACTAGTAGGCACATATTAATTACTACTACATATTGTTTTGGGATTGATAGATTTAAATGTTCACATCATAAACTACTCTCTGTCAATCATTATGGATAGTAGCATTTTTCTTTTCATTCCTTTTCATCTCATTATTAGTGCTTGTCTACTGTTTTTTTTCTCTTAATTGTATTTTATTAGTTAATTTCCTTAAATATAAGTTCCTTTATTGATTAATCGTTGTGCACCCACACACACACACACAAGCATATCCAATCTATTTTATCACATCCAACTTATTATTTTGTCCATAAATATGCATCTATCCCATAGAGTTCTTTTAGTTAATTCAAAATACTAACTATAAAAATGAACAGAATAAAATTTGCATAGAAATGAATGAACTGGTTTGGTAATTTGATTATTTCACTTCTTCTAATGTATATATATGGGATAATTAATTCTCTTTTTCACTTATTCTCTTATTTATTTATTTGTTTATTTCACATAAGTGATAAAATATAATAAAGAATGAATTATATGTATAACTGTTTCCTTTATACTATTTAAACTTGTGTTAATTTAAATGAACACATTATTTATTCACTCTGAAGAAGTAACTTAAATGAAGTCACGAAACATCAGAAATACAATTTTTCTTTCCTACTCATTAAATATAACAAATAATTTTATGTATTCTGTTATTAAATCTTTATCCAATGCTTAAATGATTTGAAACTATTTCAATCTAACCTTGATATTGATATCTATAGGTATATCATTGTTTACTTATCTTTTGCATAATGTGATATGATCTAATTTTCGCTATAGAAATGACTGAAAACACGGATAAATTAATTAGGAATTAATTTTTGTTTCATTGATAGATGTTTTCAACTTCCGAATAATGCTACTTATACTATTATCATTACTATTATTATTATTATTATTATTATTATTATTATTATTATTATTATTATTATTATTACTTGACACGCAATATTGTCTTAGTCAAAAATTACACAGAGAATAATTTGTTAACATAATTTAATGTTTAAGTTTTACTTGTATGTTTCTATTGTGTGTGTGTGTGTGTAAACTTTAAAACTACTAATTCACTTGATATAATAATTGAGAGTTAATTAAAAGTTGATTAGAAGAATGATAGGAATTGAAGAGGGAAGTTGATTATAAATACAGTGGTCTTGAGTGCTGTTAGAGGTATGAGAGCGGTTATCACTTCCTGGTTGCCCACACCGTGGAAGGGTTCTTTTGGAGGTACATGAAAAGGAAATTGGATTAGAAGCGGTCTCAGTGACCTGAGAGCGTGAACGCAGTGCCCAAGGGACAACTGCTTGAGGTCGGTCACACACGACCTTTTTATGGGTAATTTTCGTGTTAGCTCCGTACTTGTTGAGACCTTATCGCCGGAGACGGAAATCCGTGAGGTAAGGTGAGGTGTGCATTTTTAGGGTCGACCTTTTCTAACCCCACCCCTCCTTGTGGGAAGGCAGCATCGCTGTCATGCTGGTTGTCTGAAGGAAACACCTTACTGCTGTCACACCTCTGTACAGTCAGCAGTACGACTTCACCTTCGAACCTTAGGTTTATTGCTTTTAGTCTTACTGCTCTTCAACCGACCTGTCTGACATGGTAGGACCTTGAGGAACGGTTGTTCCAGCCAGTATAGCTCGGTTGCTTCATCACGATAGGCAGGCCCGAAAACCACGTCAAGGTATCAACAACAGTCGGCGATCAGAAGAAGATATAAAATATAAAGAACTTTAAATGTATGACAATAAATAAATGAAGTGTAGGATTAATGCAGATTTTAAAAAGAGATATTAAAGCTTGATAACTTCAAGTTTCCATGTATTGTGTATACAGAACCATCGGTTATCTCAGTGTAGAATGTTTACAGGTGTTGAAGTAGGTTGAATTCAAGTTAGAAGTAGTCATACAAAGACTTTACATTTAGGCATTGATAGTTGGACTAAGGCTTGTAAGTAATTTCGAACTTGACTGGGTTGCGCGCTATTTTGATGATCAATGGTAGGTAACCTTGAACATAGTAGCTCAGAAAAAATATTACTAGCATAAATATGTTCACTCTTTATCTTCCTTTAGATCTTGAGTTTCAAAATCATCTTATAATTCTTTCTGCAAATTTATTGTTCTTTCTGGAATTATACAATGTATGCCTAATGTTTTCTACTACCACTAATACTGTTGCCGTTCCTCCTTCTCCCAGTACTACTCTAAAATTTATCCTGACAATTTCACCTCACGATGATGATAGTGTGAGATAATTCAAAATGATATGCCAGGTTCTACACTGTTTATAACTAATTGATCGACTGAATGAGATCATCTCAGTTTGCTTATGTTATTCTTGTTTGATTGTTTGTATAGAAGAGTTCACATAACATTTTAGTATCATATCAGTCAGTATACTTCTATGAATACCAACTCAGAAGTGTATGATTATATATATATGGTTAGTATATTATATCTGTATTATAGTTTAATTATTACTCCCTCCAGTTACAAATTGATAGTAATGATTCATTAACCTGTTTTTTTCTCATTTATTCCGTTTTGAAAAAAAAATAGATTTCGCTGAAATGCTAATCAGTTCAAGTCAACATTTCATCAACATCTACACATTAATACTATCTTTGTTCATTTTCTTCATTCACTACAAATATTCGTTTCATAATGTAAATGCTGAGAATTTGAAACCGACACCATCAGCACATCAACACTATGTTAATTTCATACAAAAACAACAAGACAATAAAGATATTGACTCATCATTATCAGATAATCATTATGTCGATAAGTCAAATTTACCACAAACAATTAATAATAATAATAATATGGATAATTTCAAATCATGTATATGCTTCAAATGGCCAAGTTGTCTTAGCAATTGTACAAATGGTAAGTATTAATTTAACTACGTTTTTCTTATAACTAGAAATAGATAGTGGCTAACCACATAATTCTGAACGCCTATTTCGTCATCTGGATGTACCCACACCAGAGTTGATGTCCATTCCGTGACTCTAACCCATTAACGTTCTCTTCAAATACTACTACGTTATCTACTTAGCTACTAAGTCCATATAGCCACTGGCTTATTCATTAAGGGGGAAATGTACTTCATTTATATTAGTTGCTTGGATCTTCCTATTGATGTTAGGGACTGAAATTCATCAGTCTCTCTTGAAGCAGACGATACTGGGTTTGAGTTCTAGAGTGAACACTAAGTTTGCTAGCCATATTTAATCTATTCTATATCGACTTGTGTCATAAAGACAATTCGCATAGGATGCACTCATACCAAAGAGATTGGTCCATTACAGTCCTAAACATCAATGGAGAGATTCAAACAACTAATACAAGTCGATTACATTTATCTTTTATGTTTTTACTGGTTTTATACTGTAAGAATTACCTAATAATCTTTCTAGTAATCATTAAACAAAACCTTAATAATAAGTAATTCCAGTGTTTCAGTCGACAGTCTAGTTCAAGCTTTTTCAAAGAGAAATAACCCAAACATCAAAATTATGAAAATTTTAAAATAAGGATTGAAAATCAGTGTAATGGTTAATTGTGAATGAGTCTCAATAACAACTATTCAGTGTTTTATCTCCAAGATTTTGATTTTATTCCAAAATAGGAAAAAATGCATTTGAGCGTCAAATTCTTCATGACAGTTTCTTCCCTTGGAATTTCAATTTATTCATTAAACTATTTTACGCATTAATATATAATGCTAATTAAGTAATTATACTGATAAAAGGCGAAAGATTTATCCGCAAATGAGGAGACATCAAAGTTATTATAAACCTTGAATAAAATCTTTAAACCCTAATCTTTCCGATTACTGCTCATGCTTTTACTATCTCTACTGCTACAGGATTTGAATCGACAATTGTGCAAATATGGTATGGCAACTCGAACTGATGTACGTACGTACGAATTTCTACGTGGTTTCTGACTGACTGATACTAATAAAAGATTATATTATTTCAATAGTTGAGATCATGAGTCAATCGATGCTAGACCACCGTCGAAAACCTGGAAGCACTGGATGGCCGTTTCGTCCTATTGTGGGACTCCTCAGCAGGTTTTCTATGGTGGTCTAGCTTCAATTGACTCATGATCTCAACTATTAAAATTACTACAATCTCCACAAAACCCCTTCTGATGCTTATGTTATTCTTTATTTTATAATATGAAAAGAACATCATCATTCAGATCTGTTTCCATTTCATAATTATTAGTAGTCACATTCAAAGAAAATTTCGATGAGGCACAACATCATGTTTATTGTGATATTTCAAAGTATTGAATTTCATTCAATCCATTAATCAGTTATTGAAAACAAAGAAAAGAAGTTTCAGATTAGAGTTGAACAAGTGTTGATCAATTTTTTTTGTTTGTTTTTTTGGTGTTATTGAACATATATTACTCATCTTTGTTACTACATACTCAATGTAAGTCTGATTTTTTTCCGCCAATATTTATTATCTTAGGGTTAAGGTAAGAATATATACGCTCATGTAATGTAATCAACAACGAAGCCTTAATTGTATTAACCTTGACTTTAATTAATACATAACTTGAGATTAATGTTTTCCAAAGTTTAATTGCATTAACTCTACCTGAAAACTATTATCATTTGCCATTAGTCTTTCATAAAGTTTAGAGTTTCCACTAAATTGTTTGCTTAAGGTCTCATTCTTAAAACTCTATGAAAAAACAAAGAAAATTTATTATATTCTTGTAAGCAATTTTCAACTTCTGTAATGAGATCAAGTTTTATTAATCAGATGTAAATCAGGAAAGTCTATAATTATGGACGAACAAGTCAGATTTAAGATAGAGAGGGTCTTGGAGTTCAACATGAAATTCCTCCATTCAGTTAGTTAAATACCATTTTTGCATTATAGCTTATGTCAGTTCATCATGAAAATATTATATCTAATTGCTTCACACTAATCTATAATCGTCTTATTTAACCCTAGTAAGTATGGAGACATTCCAAGTTTATTTTAGCGTTGCTCAAAGGTCGTCCCTAAATTGTACTCTCACCCTGAATTATTTATTACTAATATCGAATTCTTTCTTGTACCTTCATCAATGACTGTTTGATTGTGTGTTAAAGTGAAGTTTTCAATTGAATCTCTACTTTGTTGTTTGTTGAAATTTAAAATAATTCATTGTTTGATAAGACATTTGTTTGCCCGTATACAAATTAGTAGTGTATTATCAGAATACAATGAAATTTGTAAAATAAACCTATACAAAGTAATTTCAAACTATTAACTAATTTATATTCTAGAACACAGACACCCATTCAGACGTCCCACAATCGTAGTATTTATTCCTTGAATAACATCTTCAAGCCCTACATTTTCCGATTACTGCTTATACTCTACTACGGGATTTGAGTCAACAACTACATCTTTGTGCTAATGTGGTATGGCAACTTGAACTGATGTACGTACGTACGAAGTTCTACGTTGTTACTGACTGAACTAATTTATATTATCTTATCCAATAACCAAATGAATTGTAATAACAAAAAAATGGCAGATATTTGCATTACATCAATCTTATCTCCTTCAAAATGTTAACCATTTGTGACAATAAAGTTAGTAAGTCCATCTCTATTTTCCATTATTTACAGTAACCTATGAAAGTCTTCAAAAGTTCTACTATCTACTTAACTTTTCATTTCACCATTTTCTTAAAATCCGAAGTATGTTTTACTAAAATTATGTGTAAAAGGGCTTTTTTCCACAATACTCACTGAAAACTATTTGATTCACTTTGAAAAGTTTTTTTCTATGAATTTCTTCAACGTTTTTCCCAAGTTTCACTTTTCATTTATTGGTTGAGTAAAACATGTGTATGGGATATCAATGTTATATTTTTTCTTAAGTTACTATGGTGGTTATTCCGCATTTAGTAGTTGTTCATAGCAATGAATTCTGTCTGTCGATTTTATCATTATCATTGCTATTATATTATTTCGATTCTTTCACTAGTGATCTTGATAGTTTCATCTCATAGTATCACGATAGGTTATGGCAACTCTCGGGCCAATTTTCTTCCGCTCTAAGCTCCCTTTTTTATGACTGACTATTCTATACTTCTCGCTCTGATAACATTCATTTCTTATGAGCTGTATTTTCCTGTTTATTTTACCATTACTCTCAGTGAAATTTTGTTTCTACTTCTTTGTTTTATGCTATTAGTACTCAGCAGTTCTCTCTGTTGTACTTTTTAACTGCCAAACGGCATTTAAAAATAGATGCCCGTAGATCACTAGTATTCGATCATAGTTGCCTTCAGAACACTTTCTTTATGTTGGTACCGTCGAGTTAGCGATTCTGAAGTTATACGCAAGATATTAGGTAAGAATGGAAAATGAATTGGTGAAGTACTAAATCTTTATCTACTGAAGTGGTCGGGGGATGTATTATGTATGCTCCACTCACTACCTACCTCTACATAGAAAAATCTCAGAAGTAGAATTAGGTTAGAACAAACGTAAAGGCGTCCAAATGAAGATGTGGTACCAGTATCATTCCATGAAGAAACTGATAATTGAACTGAACCTGACTGAGGTCCGCACTATTTTCGTAACAAGTTGTTAGTCTTTTGGTAACAGCTCATAATCAGTCACAATGTGGCACATGGATTCACTCTTTATCTTCCCTCATATTAAAATTTTTCATTGATCTTGTAGATTTTTTTCCAATAATCCATATTTTCTTCTTGAATCATATTTTATATGCCTAATCTTTTCTATCTTCACTGATAATATTACTACCTCTACCACTCTAGAATTCGCCTTGTCAGTTTCATTTCAATGTGCTAAGTGTTTGGCAACTTGGGCCGATGTACACAAGTGGTAGGTTCTATGTTGCATTTGACTGACTGATTTTATTTCATCATCTTATCAATCTGTGGTCCTTGAAACGATAGTCGATGTTAGATTAAGTTTTTTTAGTGATAATATCAGATTATTATTATTAGTAGTAGTATGGAATAGGATCGAATATGTATCCTTGCTTGTTTTTCTTCTACTGATAATAAACCATTTATTAATTGTATAATCTGAATAAATTCCAGTTATTTCTGTGTTATCAGGCAGATATTTCTTGATACTATGTACTCGGTTTATGTGTGTATCATTTTTCCCCTCCTTATAATTCACTAACTTACCAATCGATCCAGTCGTCATTTGTACAGGTGCACACACACACACACATAGACAATCATTGTAATCTAAACGAATGTGAAATTACACAAACTTTTGTCGAAACTAAAACAAGAAAGTGAACATAGTTTTCACTTTGACATAGAATTTTACCCAATTTCTTTTTTTTTCTTTTTTCTTTTATGAATTAAGAAATAGACGGATATAAAAGTCAATAGGGATTCTGGGTGGTCACTTGCATATTTCTCTATACAATAACTTATATTATCATGTTATTAAAACTATAAAACTCATTGTTTATAAAGTACATTCTAGAAAAAAAAACGCACGAAAGTTTCTTAATGAAATGTAATGCTGTGTTTTTGTTGCCAATGATGATAAACTTGCTTACTTATATATGTATGGAGGATGTTATTAGTAGTTACCCTACTCTTTGCTTAATGAATTTCTAACTATCATTTAACCTTCCTTTTTTCCAAAAACTACATTGTGTATTTATTAATTTTGCCCTAAGTAGCATAGCAAATGGAGAACATATTGTTAAGTTGATAGGGGAGATTTTAACTAAAATCATGTTATATCGTATTTTATTACTTGTCCTTTCTAATTCCGACTTCTGTTGGAATTAGAAGACGACAGAACATAATAATTAAAAAAGTAGGTGAGACTATAATTTATGGATGACCCTTGAGCGACGCTA